AGCTTAACTGTAATTTATTCGACATTATAATAGTTTTTAGCGTACGCGTGTAAAACTTTGCAGATAGTCGAAAGAAAAAATATTAGATAATATTTATAATATTGTTATTTTGAACAGTGTTGTGAACTCATATGAACTACTGTAAATATTGATTATCTTTAAGAATGACTATAAAAATGCACTATTTATCAATTATTGGAGAAATTATGGCCTATGGCCATCTTTTCCGTATGGCCATAATATCCTAGTTTACTCTGTAGCAGCTTTAACAAATTTGAGAAAGAAACAAAATCGCAATTTCACCGAACGCTTGCGGAAATTGAATATCCGGCAATAATGACTTTCCCGGTTTAACCAAACTTCTTCCACTTCAAAATTCATCCTATAGTAACCTGCATCGTTAACATCGTTGCTTTTATAGAGTCGTTAATCACTGTCGTTGCGCCGGTAGTAGGCGATAAATAATTACAAAATACGCAGCTCGATCTCGCTGCATAAGAGTTCTGACACCTGTGAGAGCGTTCGACGTTGTTCGCTTTCGAAATATATGAACGCGAAGTAATGTGATTCAGTAAAAAGTGAAGACTAGTGCAGTCCTCGTGAGGGCATTTGAAGAAGAGAAAACGAGAAAGATTTCTCGAGGCGACGATGGGCCACCTTAGTCCAATTGGATCGCCCACATGGTAGAAATCTGAAAAGAGAAATATAAGGCTATCCGCTGATACCGTTAAATTGCCTAATGTTTTTTTCTACAAGAACTATTTGATATACGTTGCCTTTAATTCGGCAATAGAGTAACTTATAAGTAGCTCCGTGGGCGTGTTTCATCGAGAAAAAGAGCGATGCGTTTAAATCCATTATACTGAACATCTCTCTTTCGTTTCCGATTGATTAAGAATTAATAAACGCAAACTCACTTCAGTGACATGTGTTTTCATATCTCATACCAACCTAATATCTCCGTAACACAAATACGTGAACACGGTACCAATCTTTTTCTTAACAAAAATATCGACATATATATTTATAGATTTTAATCTAATTAATATAATGTAAAAATAGTTAATTAGTATATTGAATATAAAAAATTAAGATTTTTTTAAAGAACATTTAAAAATGAAAACAGAAAGTAGA